TTATGAAGAGGGCGAGTAACTGGGTAGAGAAGGCACTAATGAGGTCTGTGTTGAAGAGATTAAACAATATAAATCACTAATACTACCTAGCTCATACTAAAGGAAAGATGAGCCTGGATTGTGTTTGCAATAGCAAATATTCTCCAAAGGAAAAACCAAGAAAATAAGTAGAAAGTGTTGGAGGATAGAAGAATGAAACATCTTGGCAGTAGTTTGATTTTCCCATCCTATTTTAACATTTCCAAACTGCTTAAAGATTTTCAGGAAATACCAAATACACTATTGTTTCAGCATTTTACTCTGAACTCTATTTCCGACGTTTGCCCTACAGAGACACCTTCCTTTATTTCCTCTGAGTGGGAGCCAGCACCCCAGTAGTCGCAACCCTCGGCCAGCTCCGGCCAGATCTGGATCACAAGCACTCAGGCACATGAACCCCGAGTCTCCCCACATGGCTCACCTTGCAGAGCATCACACTTTACTGTAAGATAGTCCTGGCCTGCAGAATGTTTTAAAACAAAGCTGAGCCACACCGGCTGCCAACTCATGTGGATCAAAGCAGTCTACACCGCAGGCCTCATGGCCAGCCTCGTTCCTGGGGGGCATCCCTTTCCAACTTCTCCATTAGCCTCACTCCTCTCCCTCTGGACTTGCTACCCGAGTATCTTCACGAACTGACGATTGATGTCTGACACATGATTTATGCCCGAGGCAGGGGATAAATTCATACTTTTTTCTCTGAATTCATCTGGGCAGCCTGTGAGGATTCTGGTTTGAAAGCAAAGCACCAGGAGTTGGTCGGGCAGAATGTTCCCGTGCGACTCAGGAAAACACCGACTGCAACAACTCTGCTGGAGGGCAGGGGGGAGACATGCTTCACCAGAACCCAAGGCCCCTGGGGACACGCGCTAAGCCACCTGTGCGCATGTACGTGGGCACACGTACCTACAGATGTGCATGCAGTGCTCACGACAGGTACGCCCATCTCGTAGCTCTGAGACGCCCACAGCAAGACCCCTGTCCCTCCCAATGACAAAGACCTCAGCTGGTGGCTCAGGTGTGTGCTGCTACTCAAAATGAGGAGGGGAGCTTTCCGAGTCTTGGTGACCTGGAGAATAATACGCAAACTGACGTGAAAAGACAAAGGAGACAAAGCACCAGCATGCCGCAGTGGGTAGGTCACCTACAAGTAGGTTTCTATCACGTAGACTTCCTATTAACACGTGTGAGGGCATCTCTAAAGGAGAGGCCAGCACTTCCATGGGGGGCAGTCGCGTTAGACTTTCAGCTCTCCTACTGTCCTCCCTCATGGCCTGGCCACCTGGCTACCTGGCCACACAGTGATGGTGCCAATTGGCCACCCCAGGCGCACAGCTTCACCCAGGCCACGGTGGCAGCATCCCGTGCTTTTAAGGAATGAGGGATCAGGGTCTCAGAGCAAAAGCCCGCCAGCTTGTGTGCGGAGGGGTCTGGATCCAAACCCAGGCTATGACGTTTTCTAAAATTTTTTCTTTCCATTCTACTATAAATTAAACAACTCATTACACACTTCAGTACAAAGTTTTTTATTGACATTGTAGAAACATTTTTTTTTTCTTTGTTACAAAAGGACTAAGTGGTTCTGAAAGTAAAGGAGAGTTCATCTGTGGCTGGGCTGCAGCCCTGGGCTGGAGGTGGCACGAGTGTCCCAGCAGCTGCAGGCTGATCCGAGGCAGGCCCAGGGGCGGTCACTTCCGAACGCTACGCCTACAATATGTAAATGTATTTACACACGTTTCTTTTAAAAAAGGATTACACATTTTATTTTTTTAAAAATCTAAAAAAGGTGAAAAAGATGAACTTGTATTTTATCTTACACGTTTGCAGGATACACGAGGGGAACTGGTCAGGAGAGAACCTCCTCCGATCAGTTCAAAACGACACAGGAAACCAGGTTACAAGACAACTCGGACTCTGCTAGGGTCCTGGGCTCCGGCCGGCGAGCGCACAACCTTGGAGCACCAACTGGGCACCGCCAACTGGTCCCCCTCCTCGACAAGATTAACATAAAATAAGGCACATACATCGCAAGAATCAAAACTTTCAGCTCCACAGGAGGAGCCTCCAGGAGAAGAGCAGGGGGTCATTGAATGAGTTCTTGAGAAAGAAAATAAAAATGGTTTGAAAACCAAAAGCGAGTTTAACACAGATGTGGGATGAGAGAACATGTATGAGCCGGCAGTTCATATGAAAAGGAGGACGTGACACCAGTTGAGTCGGAGCTCTCTCGGAATGCGTAGGTCAGAGACGCAGAGAAAGGTAGCGGCTGGGGTAGGTCTCATCACACGAGATGCCATGTCTACAGAGATCCCTTATCCTGCCAGACAGGATAGGTCTAAGTGACCTCGAAAGGCCCTCTTTCCACTAGACTGTCCCGACAAACCACCTGAGCCCTGAAAAAGTACACTTCCTCCCCCCGCCCTCCTCTCCTCCACCCTTTCGATGTTGTCACACTGACAGAAGCCAAACACTGAGCTGAGACGTGTGTCTCCGGCACATCTAAGGGCAACTGCAAGGAAGGCGAGGATAAAGGGAAAAGCAAAGGGGAGGGGAACCTAGAGGATAACCTGAAATGAAAGGAGGAAACAGAAGCATGAAATGAAAACAGTCCTGATCTCTTCCTTCCTCCCTCCCTCCCTCCCTTCCTGCCTTTCTTCCTCCCTTTCCTTCTCCTTTCCTTCCAGGAAGGACAAAGGTGATGTGGAAAACCACCATAATTGAGAAATGCAGGTCACATCCAGGAATTCTACCAGGGAAAGACGCCGATGGAATCAGCCTGCTACCAGGGTCCCACGCTTCTTGCTCAGGGATGGAGGAGACTCCGACCCCATGCTCTGAAACCAAGAGCAGGAAACGCATTGGGTAAACTGTAAGAACAGGCAAGCTGAGACCAACGGTTGGAGAATTTGAGATTCATGGAAAAACTGAGGTTCAGGGAACAGGTCTATGATTTTGGGACCAGGTGGGAGGAACACCTTGCTGTTTCAGCTGAAAAGTACTAGAGACTCTACTCTCCTGAGCTCAGACTGAGTCTTGTTTGCTCTTGGGCTGTTTCCAGGGGATAGAGCCACAGGGCAGGCGGTGGGGTGTGGGAGGAACCACAGCTTCCCTCTGCTGTCCAGGAACAGCTACTGGAAAGCAAACCCCAAATCCTTAGCCACTAAGTCCCAAGTGGCAAATTTACCTCCACGTTGTCATCCTTGGTCCAAATAAGAGGAAGTAAACATGAGGAAAATGGGCTCTTCCTTAACATTCTTTCTTAATATTTAACACTCTGTTTTCCTTGACTCTCTACTACTAATTTAAAATGGCAGGAATAGAGGGCTAAAGTCATACCATCGAGTCACAAATCACTGTGGATGAATGCAACTCCAGGGGTCAACGGGACAGAATACAGCAGGTAGTTTGACATTTGAACAGTTAACGTTGATGTCTTCATCTTGCTAGTTTACAGTTTTAGAAGCAATATGCTGGGTGAGCCACAAACTCCTGTGCACACACAGTACGACTTGTATGTGTACCAACTGCACATGTGGAGTAGCTGTGCTTTTTAAATCTTCAAATGTTTTCATCCAAAACAGAAGTACGGACACCAGTCCATGTGAAGGACTAAGTGCAGGACATGAACTTCAGGTGCAGCACTTACAAGATGGGCTGTGAAAAAGGCATCTAGAGATACTCAGCATCTTCCCTAGTGCGCTCGATGGCTAACAATGGCTGAAACAATTCTTCCCAATATCAGTGTATGTGAGCTTTTTCTTTTATAAATCCCTTAAGATAGGGCACTTACAATGGAAATACTCATTCGCTGTAGCGGAATGTATAAATGTCAACGATATAGCCAGTTGTGGGGCTGTTTAAATACCTATTTATTTAGAGCTACCTATATTCAATTCTCAGTTATCTATGACAATGGGGAAAGAGAAGGAACTAATCAACAAATACAAATCTTCCCCAAACTAATCCTACCCAATTGCTTCCCTGTCATCTATCTAACTTCTTACCAGAACAGATAAAGTAGCAACGTGTGTGTCACCGACTGCCTGTCCCCTCTCACACCACAGCGCTAACCTGAATGCGTCCAGAGGTAAAGGGAGAAGAGGCCAGTGAGATAACTGAGAACTGACCAGAGAGACATACCCACCCCAAAACACACCAAGAACATGACAAGCGTTAACACCTAAGCCATGAGCAGACTCTTTCATTTGCAAGAGCCCCAAGAGGCTGTGGAAAGTATGCCCTGAACTGAATTCGGGGTGGGGAGCATGTCCGAAATCTCTTACTACGCCATAGTGCACCCACGAGAGTCTTCCAACCACTCTCCATATTCTGATTCTTGTGCCCAATGTGGAAATGAAAAAAACAAAAGCAAGACAAAACCAAAACACTGAGCGGATGTAAAGGGAAAGTCAAAGGGCTGGCTGTTTAACCCTTTGGTCGCAAGCACAGCAGCTCCTGTTTCCTTTGAGTAACAGAGAAACACGTCAAATCCTTTCATTTGACCTCATTTCTAAAAGAAAGAAGAACATGCACATCACACATTTACATTGGTTTACTAAAAAAGAGGTGGGCTTACAGTTTATAAAAAAAAAAAAAAAAAAAAAAAGAGGGTGGTAC